TGTCGCCCGAAGATGTTAGTTTCTCGGAAGATTATCGTCCGCGCGACATTACTGTGTGTAATACAACAAATGCATCTCAAAAACGAAAGAGCAGCACGCCGGGTCCAGAGATACAGCAAAAGCGGCGGTTGGCTGAAGACACGACTCTCTCGGAGCTCGATACGTCGCTGTTTCAATTCCGCGACCGTCGCACCGAAGTGCCATCAGAGGTAGCTTCAGTGCAACCGGCTCGCATGCTAGCCGACGGTGACACTATGGATTTAGTTGATGAAGAGGCCGAAGAGGAGGCAATGTTGCTGGCCGTGTCCGATGCTGTGGAGACCAGCCAGATACCTCGACCGAGCAGCACTGAAGTGTGCTTCTTCAATACAGAGGATGCGCCGCCCACACTATTGCCGGAAGACAATAACGAGGAGGATGAGAGCATACCTCAATCTCCGGAACGCGAGCGCGGCCTTAGGGTGCGCACCATCTTCTCTCGATGTTTTCAAAATACCTACGTACCGCGTGAGCCGTCGCCTAATAGTCAGGTGTATGCGCCCAATTCGGACACAGAAGATTAGCCTATTTTGTTCGTTTATTTATAAGGATTGTATAAACGTATGTACTTTCATTCCCGTCTCAATTGCCTCTCTCTTTTATGTGAATGACGGGCAAAAAGCTACTCGTCAACGCCGATGCAACTCGGTTCTGCAACTGTGATGTGTTTCGTTGTGCCTGCTGCAGCGCTGTGTGTGCCGATTGCAGGGACAGTTGCGACTTGATGAGCATTTGATCGGTGGTCAGTAGCTGCTTGGAAGCAGTCACAACAAAGTTGCGTGTGAGCATGGTCAGCGCCTTACAAATTTCAATGTTGTTCTCAACTAAATTGGAGTGAATAGGACTTATGAATCGAGTCGAATACCATATAGAATATATTGCACATACTCAATTTGCGCTGCAGTAAATTATTACGGTATATTGAGGCAGTTGCACTAGGTGTGCTTGGCTGCTCATAGATGTCTTCGTCTTCTTCCTCGGTTGCCTCCCCAGACACTTCCGCTGCGTATATCTACAAAGATTTGGTTTATGAGACTCGATGCTCTATTTATTTGTCAGTTGTAAATGCCTTATGCTTATCCACTTCCTCATCCGATTCGGAGGCCTCGCCACGCACTAAATCGGCCATCTTGTTGTTTATTATTAAATTACATGAGCGACAACTTAAATACCTGTTGGTCGCAATAATTGTCTATTTACCGTATTGTGTCGATAAATCGATTTGCAAGTCGATTACAGATATGCCCTATCGATACATTCCAATGAAATGTAAACGCTTAATTTGTCAAGCCTA